GAGTGTTTTTACTTCATGTCTCCCGGTCGCCTTACGGATGTTCTTTTTGCGACGGTAAGTTTTTCCCATCCACTCATTAGTTGTGTAATAGGTTAAGAAGCATGTGCCTCTAATAAAATTCCGGAGTCAATTGAAGGCTGGCCAAGGTAATTCATTTACTTTATCACCCACCAGAAAATAAGCAGGACAGCAAACCTCTAGTGCACCGACCGCCGCGGCGACTGCTTCCACTTATACAGTAAAATGCTCTATACCACCGGAACAGGCCGTTGAATCATGGCAGATAAATCCTAAGTACCGGAGGAAGCCAGTCACCGAAGAGGAGGTCGCTTTCTATGAGGTAAATCTTTTCATTGAAGTATAATTACTTTCTTCTCTTTAGACATTTGGTCGTTGAGTTAGGTATCTAAGACGCTCCAAACACCTAGAGTGCGAACCACTGTTTTGGCTAAATGGATCACGGGATGCTCCGGAATTTGTACCCTTCTTAGAAGGTCTCATTTGTTTTTTTCTATTGTCGATTATTAAAAGATAGACCGAATAAAAAGCAAAAGTTGTAGTAGTATTGTCTCGAGTTTGCTCATTTCGACGATTTAAAGCTATCTTTATCGTAAAACTTGTCATTTACGGTAAAACAGATAGACATCGTGACATGAGATTATTCCGTTAAATGAATGTATAAATGCGGAAACGCAATAATTCTGCTCATTGATTCATGCTTAAACAGTTATAAGGTTGCAACTATTGAGAGAAGGAAAGCCATTGTTCTAAAATTTAGCTGTTTTGGCGAAAATGGATAATTGAAATCTATCTGGGAAGATAGAACTATTAAGGATTACTAGCGGCTTGGATCCTTGACAGGTTTGAGAGAGTGAGGTATAGTTATATTAAGAGCAGCCCTCTGAGAAACAGAATCTACAACATTATTGGCAAAACAAATTCCTTATGTTTGGGCGGTCTGACGGTATTGCACCCACAACGAAGCCATTGATTGATATCCCTGTTCCAAAGATTCATTTTTCGGTATTTGTTTGCCGGGATACCGATACCAGGTCCAGGGACACTGCAATCGTTGGTTTACGTTAGGCGTGACGCACCTCAAGGACCTTACGCAACGTAAAAAGATGATCGATATATCCGCCTCCAGATAGGAATTCGGTTTGGTTTTCACGGATGTTGGTCTCTCTTAAAGTATTCAGACGTCGAAGTATGATGGAGGCTCGCACTTTGGTGTCGATTGCGACGAAACTTATCCAGCGATAGATTTTGTAATCGTAGCGAGTTCCTTTCTTGAGAATGGGATGATCAGTGATTCGCCCCAAGATGAAGGAATGCGCTTCTGCACCCATATATTGTGCAGAAAGGCAGTAATAGAGCTTATCACCCCCATCTTGAAGAGTGGAACAGAGCCCATCTGATCCTGCTGCCTTTCCTCGTATTAGACCATGAATGCAAAATCGGACTTCTGCCTCTGAGGGTGGATCTCACGTCACTGCCCACGGAGCTTCAGTTGCAGATGAAGTAATCTGGCTAACGCCAAGCCAGCGGAATTGTTCGCTGAAGTACTCCGCCCAGTGATCAAACCGCTGAACTGGTTCAATATCACACCTAACCTAGAGGGGCTTTATGTGGTTTGCCACTCCAATTGTCTAAGCTAAGATTGCCGGTTTCCATCACTGAACAGCAGATCTTTGCAACTATGGGGTCCACACAGCTTGCTGTTCATCGCGCAAATGTTTGTAATAAAAAGGAGCGAGCTGTATGATAATGTGGTGCTGCGCTGTTGCCTCTTCTCAGGTACGATTACACACTATCAGGCACAGATTGCCCGGTTGATAATATAACTCAGCTGGTAAATGAGCTGATTATTTGAATTATAAAGAATCGGCACGAAGAGAATTTGGTTGATTGGATTGCGACATTGTCCTCAACCTACAACGATCAAAGTGAGTAAGTTTTATTTGGTCAAATATCACTGCAGAAAGTGCGTTTTAGTGGGATCTGACTGTTTTTCTCTAGGATGTTTTTGCCTTTGATGGTTGATCGGTTAAACTTTAGAGAAGAGTAAACGAACGCGGCGGCCCCAGTTTTACTGTCTGAACCGCCAATTCGAGTCGGAGCTCCAACCTGGAGACTGGGATGTCTAACCCCTACCATTTGACCTTCCTGGCATGATGAAATCTTTGGCTTATTAACAGCCATCCTGTGTAGCCCGTTGGGTGCACCACCTCGAGATGCAGTCTCAACATGATGCTTGGCTCATGAATCACGTGCCTGCACACAATGCGATCAGTCAAGGCAGTCTTGGGAATACCACTGCAATGGGAAAGAAATTTATACTGGATATTAAAATGAGGTTGGGTGAGTGGGTAGTATGCTTGCGTTCTATCTACGAGGTCCCGGGTTCGATCCTTGGTCTAGTTGATAGGTTCGCAGGAGACCAAAGCAGACCGAAAGAGCTATACAGTGGTGCATCCTAGCGTTTTACGCCCCATCTGCTCTGTGCACGACGAGGTTCACTATATTATCAAACCAAGTCCTACATTCCTATCACTCTAAAGCCTCGTTAGTATATGCNTCTAACGGTAGGAATTAATGAAGTCTCAATCAATTGACACAGATCAAAGCAAAAAATGATGATAATCGGGAAGACGTTCACTAATGGAAGAATTATCAGTTCTGGTGGAAACCGAAAAAGCTGGAGAAAAAACATGTCCTTCGGTATGAGTTTTCAGGGTAACAATTTCTCCTTTTGGATCTGGAGGCAAGATGCGATAATTAGTGAAGGCAGTGTTCACCACGTGTACATAGGGTAGTAGTGAATTAACTGTTGTTTTTACGTGCGTAAGTGGACGTACTTGCCGTGTCCTATGTCCGGTGACCGCATTTGGTAAATGTACTCACATTCAGAGTGGTGAAGTGCGTTGGAATGTTGCGCAAGCGGAGTGCGTGATGAGTAGAACACGACCTATGCGCCACGTGGTTATGATACGTTCTGTACGTATATGGAAGTGTTTTGTCTGGTAGTGTAATTATACCCAGCGTCCTCAAATTCATTATCGCTCTCAATTGATTGTAGTCTTAAATCGAATTCGATCAACTCGGACAGCATTTAAGAGCAGCAGTCGACTAACTAAAACGCTATTGCTACTAGAAGTGTTGAGCATGTGATTGGAGCCGTGATTACGTGGCGTGATTCATGAGACATCTACAAGGACTTTCCGCAATTTGATTGCTGATTTTTACTGAATTAGGCCCTACTTTTCACTTGATAGGTGTCGCTCAATTATTTAAAACACATCACGTAATTCATCCGAGCGGAACTGATTGTTCTGCATTGTTTCGAGGACAAATACTGGTTGATTCAGAACAAGCGAATCGACCGTAATTCTTACTGCTTCCCACTTCTAATGAACACTTTTCAAGTGTTCTGGGAAGCGACCGATATTCATATAAACTTAGCTGCAATGCTAAATTCACTTCATCAGGAAAAAGGATGAAGATACGTGAAGTTTGATCGGGTAGGTGTGGGAAATTTATCCAAATGACTGTCCGGTACTCAGTGCTGAAAATGATTTCGTCTGCAAGACATCTTGTTCCGAATAGAATGTAACGTACTTCTAGGTCTTGTTTGGGTCCATGATTCTTTGTGGTCATGAGAGCAATGTATGATTTGTTTGTGAGCGCCATAGTGTCATCAGTCTGTGAAGCCAAGTCGCAAAATGACAGTTTTTCCGTACATTGAACAAAATCTATTCTGTTATACCCAACACGAAACCGGTTGCCTTTGTTATGTTTTCTGTTTCTCGAAGAAGAGAATCACGTCCATCTAAGCTTGAAGATTACATTTGGCATTGTTGGATCCTGCAATTGATATGTAAATACTACTAAACCTGGTCTTTTCATCATCTTCGTGACATAATGTGATCCTGCAGACAAACCAACGGCAGTCACATCACATGTGCCATTGTGCAACTACGCACATTTCCCGGTTTTTCGTTTTACGCCATGAATCCAGAGAACGTAACACAAGCACAGAAAAATTGATTTTGTTTATTTTTTGGTTTCCAACAAAATCATTTGAAAATCGTAGCTACACAATTTTCCAGTGCTCGCCGCGTATACACGATAAACACCAAACAAATCAAACATGGAGTGATAAAACCGTTTCATGTTTGACCTAGCAATAAGCGAATCTGTCTCTCCAGGTTAGCAATGATTGGATCGTCCGGCTCATATACACCGGTGTTTAATAGATTGTCACGTTCCTCAATCAGTCGTATCAGTTCCGGGTCATTAGCTGGACTGATCATTTTTGGTTGTGGAGGTATTTCTGGAACATTTGGTGACCCGGTTCGTTCGGCAAAGCTACGGAGAGAAAGGGCAAAATGGATGAACGCGATAGACCACGATTATTAGTCAGTAGGATGAAGTGGAACTCACGAATTATTTACAATAGGTAACTACAGTTTTGTGGATTTAGCCTGTAAGATGTTAGTGATATATATGTATATATAATATATATATATATATATATATATATATATATACGCAGTTCGGGTTCAAACAAGCGAGCGATCGCACA